CCCAAATCCAAACCCAATTTCCAAATCCAATTTCTACCAATACCCGAATCCATTGCTGCTACTATATGCCAGATACACGTATATTCTATACGTATCTGATTGACGACTAGCCTTAATCGAAAGTTCTCTCTCATTATTGGGAGGGGTAATTAACTATAGGGGCTTGCGCCTATAGGAAACCAGAACTCAGATCATAAAGTCCTCACAAAATGAGGGCGAAATCTCTGGGTAGTGTCTTATCTACAAACCCATCTGCCTTCCAAAATTTACCCCGGAACTTAGTTCGTTAAAACTCCCTCGCCGAATAAGAAAAGCGAGCGGAGGCCGGGGCCGAATTTTCGGAGCCCACATGCGGCCCCACCTCGTCCGAACCTTAAGGGTAAAGCACCCGAACGTGACACTCCCAAAACCAACTCGGGAAAAAAATGTTATCGGTGTCATGGGTATGGACACATTGCCTCACAATGTTCAAGTCCCTATAAGGTCACCATAATAGAAGAGGTTGAAGACGACGAGGACGAACCCGAAACTGACTTAGTTCATCATGTTGACGAAGAGGAAGACTCTTTTACTGAAGAAGAACCTGTTACCCTACAAGTTGTGAGGTGCGCATTGGCTCAACCTAAGTTAAGTAATGATTGGCGTAGAACCTCAATTTTTCATACCTTTGTTAAGATTGGAGAAAAGAGCTGCAAAGTTATCATTGATAGTGGGAGTTTTATCAATGCAGTCTCTTCGGCTATGGTTTCCAAGCTCAACCTTAAGATGACCCCTCACCTAAATCCATATAAGATTTCTTGGATCAACTCGACTACCATAGAAATTAAGGATCGTAGCCTTATTCCTATAGAATTTGTGGGATATCAGGATAAGATTTGGTGTGATTTCTTAACCATGGATGTAGGGCAAATTATCCTTGGTCGCCCTTGGTTATTTGACAATGACGTCCATATTTATGGGAGGTCGAACACCTGTGTGTTCGAACATGATGGAAAGAAGATCAAGTTGGTACCCTCTCAACCCAAACATCCCAAGACGGAAGCTAAGCCTACCCCAGTCAAGCAAAGTAAAGGACTACACCTTTTGACTGCGAAGGAAGTAGAAACTGAGATTACCCATGGAACACCCATGTATGCCCTAGTGGCGAGAGAAGTGGATGAGGATCAAAAAGAGCCAATCCCCGAGGCAGTTAAGCCTCTTCTTGAGAACTTTGCTAATGTTTTTCCGGATGATTTACCTAACCAACTACCACCCCTGCGGGACATACAGCACGCGATAGATTTGGTACCGGGAGCATCTCTACCCAACCTTCCCCACTACCGTATGAACCCAACCGAGCATTCGGAGCTAAAGAAACAAGTCGATGAACTCCTACAACGTGGATTCATTAAGGAGAGCCTTAGTCCGTGTGCTATCCCTGCCCTGTTAACTCCAAAGAAGGACGGATCTTGGAGGATGTGTATTGATAGTCGTGCTATCAACAAGATTACGATGAAATATCGTTTTCCAATCCCTCGGTTAGATGATATGTTAGACATGATGTCTGGAGCGACACTGTTCTCTAAAGTTGATCTTAAAAGCGGATATCATCAGATCAGGATTCGCCCAGGCGATGAATAGAAAACGGCCTTTAAGACTAAAGATGGGTTGTATGAATGGATGGTTATGCCCTTTGGTCTTAGTAACGCTCCTAGCACGTTCATACGGATTATGACCCAAGTCCTTCGACCTTTCCTCTGAAAATTCGTGGTTGTCTACTTTGATGATATATTGATCTATAGTAAATCAGTAGACCAACATTTGGAACACTTGAAGCAAGTATGTGAGATTTTAAGGAAAGAACAGTTGTATGCAAACCTTCAGAAGTGTGTGTTTCTTACCGACAGTGTTACCTTTCTCGGATTCATAATCTCATCTCGAGGAATTTCAGCCGACCCCGAGAAAGTTAGAGCGATCAATGAGTGGCCTGAGCCTAAGAATATCAGAGATGTTCGGAGTTTTCACGGATTGGCCACATTCTATAGGAGGTTTATTAGAAACTTTAGCACGATAGTGGCACCCATAACCGACTGCCTCAAGAAAGGGGAATTTCACTGGATGTTAGCTGCCACTAAGGCTTTTGAGGACATTAAGAGGAAAATGGTTGAAGCCCCTGTTATGCGTCTCCCTGATTTTTCCAAAGTTTTTGAAGTGACTTGTGACGCGTCAGGAATCGGTATTGGAGGAGTTTTATCTCAAGAAGGACACCCTGTGGCATATTTTAGCGAGAAGTTAAACGACATTCGTCAGAGGTATTCTACCTATGACAAGGAATTCTACGCGGTCATCCAATCCCTCAGATACTGGAGACATTACTTGCTGCCACAAGAATTTGTGATATTCTCTGATCATGAAGCCTTGATGTACATTAACTCACAGAAGAAACTCAATGCCCGCCATGGTCGTTGGGTTGAATTATTACAAGAGTACACTTACACAATTAGACATAAGGCTGGAACGGAGAATAAAGCAGCGGATGCCCTTAGCAGGAGACTGATGATCACCCAAGAAATGAGGACTGAAGTTATCGGATTTGAACGCCTTAAGGAAGACTATAAGGACTGCCCAGACTTTAACGATACTTATTCCCTTTTGACCTCTGGATATGAACGCACTATGGATGATTTCGTAGTAGAGAATGGGTACCTATTCAAAGCTCAAAAACTTTGCATTCCCCAAACCTCCCTTCGTGAATATCTTGTATGGGAATTACATGCAGGAGGGTTAGCTGGCCACTTCGGGCAGGCAAAAACTATTGCTGCACTAGAGAACCGTTTTTACTGGCCCAGTCTCAAGCGCGATGTCGGTAGACTCTTAAGGCGATGTCACATTTGCCAACTGGCCAAATAGCGAAAACAGAATACGGGACTCTACTCTCCGCTCCCCGTACCTAGTCGCCCATGGCAAGATGTGAGTATGGACTTTATCCTTGGATTACCTAAAACTGCGAGGAAGCATGATTCTGTCTTTGTGGTCGTTGATCGATTTTCCAAAATGGCTCACTTCCTCCCTTGCTCCAAAACCTTCGACGCTTCTAGAATCGCGAAAATTTACTTCGACGAGATAGTTAGACTCCATGGCCTACCTAAGACCATCGTGTCTGATAGGGACGTCAAGTTCACAAGCTATTTTTGGAAGACCCTTTGACACAAAATGGGGACAAAACTTCAATTCTCCACTGCTTTCCACCCCCAGACCGATGGTCAAACTGAGGTTGTTAACATGAGTTTAGGAAACCTTTTGAGGACTTTGGTGGGAGAAAACCTTAGGGATTGGGACTCAAAACTTCATGTGGCAGAAATTGCTTATAACAACTCTACCAACCGAATCACTGGCCTTAGTCCTGCTGAAATTGTGTACATATACCAACTTAAACAACCTATTGATCTAGTTCCCATGAATCCGAGAGATAGAACATCTAAGTCTGCATTTGCATTCGCATCTCATCTGCATGAGTTACACAATGAAATTAAAAAGAAAATTGAACAAAGCAATACCAATTATAAGATTCATGCTGATAAGAAAAGGAAGTTCCAAGTGGGAGACTTTGTAATGGTACGGATCCGCCCGGAGCGTTTCCCTCCTGGGTCTATAAAGAAGTTACATGCGAGAAGCGCTGGACCATTTAAAATAATTACAAAGGTTAACAGTAATTCTTATGTGCTAGAACTCCCGAAAGGGTTTAATATGAATCCGACTTTTAATATCGAGGATATAGTAGCCTTTGAGGGTCCTGATTTTAACCCCAACAATCCCTCTATAATGAGCCTTGTGTGACCCCACCTGGCGAGATCCCTAGCCTTCATCCACTCCCCAACTTACCCCATTTGCCTAGAGCGGAAAAGATCGAAACCATTCTGGATGATGAGATTATTTCCACAAAGGATGGAGGGCGCCAACGATACTTAGTTCATTGGGAAGGAACACCGGAGACAGAGGACACGTGGATTGACCGAGAGGAGCTACAGAGACTAGACCCAGACCTTCTGGAGTTATATGAGAGCCTCCATAGCATGCACTCGACGGGGTCGAGTTCTCTCCCACCCGGGGAGAATGATGGGGGCATCGACAGGAGACTCCGGTGCGTCTATCAAAGGCAACACCGGAGATCGACGGCTATGATGGATAGCCTTTCCACCCGTCGGCCATATCAAAGCCCCCACCGGCCGGCCACCTTGCCGCCGGCTTCCCTCCACCACCCTTCCACCACCACATATTTCCCTCGCATTCTCGCTTGAAATTTGATTTTCAAATTTCAAATTATTTCCAAATTTGAACGATCTATTTTAGGAAAGTTTTAATTTTTTGAAATCAATTTCACATCCATGAAATTGGATTCATGAAATAATAATTTCCTAGTCATCCTCCTAATTTGGAATCCTCCACCTCATCCCTAATCCTCCTCTCACCTCCTTGATGCTGCCGGCCCCTTTCATTGGGCCCTCTCTTGATTGCACAATTAATCCCTAATCCTATTTTGAAATTCAACTCCTAATTTCAAAATAATTACCTCCGGTTTTACTTAAAACTGAAATTAATTCAGTTTTAAATTCAAACCATTCCCCTCTAATCAAACCGCTGGCCCCTATGAGCCTCCCCATTGGGAAAGTTTTAATCCCCCTCCTTAATTTGGGGATTTCAAAATTAAATCTCAAACTTTCCCTCCCAAATTCCCTAAACTGAAATCAATTTCAGTTTTCTAACACTTAATCCCCTTTTATTCCTAAACCTACCGCTGGCCTCCCTCTCCCTCAACATCCCGCCGGCCTCCCCTCTCCCCTTTTGGAGAATTCTTGGCGGCGACCACCCATTCTCCCCTCAATGATTTATGGAGGAACCCGAGTGGAATTTCGGGTTTGAGTATGACGACCAAGGAAGAGTGGACATCCTCAAATCGCCCTTCTTCGACGTCGGTTTTGATTTCGACGACACCGTCGACGAATATTTGGATCGAATTCTACCTACACTAGTGGATTCCATCGATGACCACTTTTCCGTCTACACGTGGATCATTAAAGGTCACCCTGTCGCACCTCCTCCGCCTCCAAGCTCTTTCCCCGTGGCGACGATCATTGGCTCGTCCCTCCTCGTGGCAACCTCACTACTAGCTTGGACGATCTTCCGCCGCTCACCCTAGTTTCGTAGGAATGAGAGAAGAGGCTTTAAGGTGAACAACTCCTTATTATTTGTTGGATTCTATTTGCTAGTTTTTAACTTTACTATTTTCCTTTGTATTGGCTTAAATCGCCCGGCTATCTTCTTTTATTGTAATTCCTTTGCCTAAGCAAAGAGGAACGCTACGAGCTCTTGTAACCGATTTGACTTTGAAGCATGAAATTATGAATGGTTAAGCTTTAATTAACATTCTTTTCTTAAATCATGTGTAACTCAATTCATGCATCACATCACTAAGATACATTAAGAGAACTATTAACTGTGGTCTACCAATATACAAAAGAAAGCTACAACTTAAGGTTTAGTATGACTGATTGAGTAGCAGATATAAAAGTAACCACTGGTTTCCATATTTTCTTAGGCAGCACTCTTATTTTTTGGTGTGTATAGAAATTGATGAGGACATCGATCCAAGGTTCAAACATGTGTATCGCCGGAAGCATCGCAGATCGATGGCCATGATTCAGAGCTTATATTTCTAGTTGTTTATGCATTTATTCTTATGTCTTCCTATTGTACCCTTATGTTGAGTTGAGTCATGTTGGGGCCCTGAGGGCAATTTAGTCTTTATTTCTTCTTGTATGCTTGAGACCTATATATATGGGTCTTTTCTCTTGTAATAGCCAATGAATTTTGAATGAAAAAGTTATGTTTTGTTTCTACTTTTGTAGCATGAGTGCTTGAGAGGGAAGAGAGCTCAAGGGGAGCAATTCGCAAAGCCCACTAGTCGTTGGAAGAGTCCGCGGCTCGTGGTTAGTTCTCGATCATCGCGTTCGTATTTTTCTCCATTTTCTTCACCTCCACTACAAGAATTCCCTCCTCAACCCCATTGTCGCCGCCCCTTGGGAAACCGCCGCCGACCACC